TCCTTTCTTGTGTTCCCAAAACCTCACTTCTCCGTCCCCCTGCTCCACCCAAAAACTGTACATCTCACCCTCACTGCTCCGTCTCCTTACTACTGCTCTCATCACCTCCTGCTCATACTTCATTCTCCTGCTGACCCTAGCACCAGGACTGGAAGGCATGGGCACCCATATACATGCCGCTCACATGCCACCTTCCTCACACTTCTTCTCCTCCTAACCTCTGGGGATATCTCCCCGAACCCTGGTCCTCCATTACTTTGCCCACACACAAGACATCCTCTTTTCCTGGAATTACCGCAATCCCCTCAACCTAATATCGGTCCCATGCTCCCCAAAACCACCCTCCCGTTTTCATGTGCACTCTGGAACGCCCATTCGGTCTGCAATAAACTCACCTCAATCCACGACCTCTTCATCTCCCGCTCTCTTAACCTTCTAGCACTCACCGAAACTTGGCTCCAAGCAGCAGATTCTGTCTCCCCCGCAGCACTGTCCTATGGAGGCCTCATCTTGACCCACTCACCCAGGCCCAGTGGTCGGAAAGGAGGCAGGATTGGTCTACTTCTGTTACCACTGAGCACCTTTCAAGTCCTCCCTAACCCTCCCTCTCTATCCTTTTCTTTTTTTGAGACCCACTGCATCCGGCTATTCTCTCCGATCTCTCTGAGGATTGCAGTGATCTACCGGCCTCCAGGACCCGTGTCCAATTTTCTCGATGACTTTGCCACCTGGCTACCCTACTTTCTCTCCTCTGAACTACCCACTATCATTCTCAGAGACTTTAACATCCCTATTAACGTCAGTAACCTGGCTACATCCCAAATCTTCCACATAACCTCATCTTTTGAACTAGTGCAGTGTATACAGTCCTCCACTCACTCTGACGGGAATACCTTAGACCTTGTCTTCTCTCACCACTGTACTCCCTTTAACCTCTCAAACACCCCATTTCCCCTCTCCGATCACAATCTCATCACCTTCACAGTATCCTCATCCTCTAACACCTATCCCACCAAACAGCAAACAATTACCAGCAGAAATCTCCGAAACCTAAACCCTGCTCCTTTCCACTCTGCAACTGACCAACTCTACGACAGCATCAACCCCCTGTCCTGCCCTGACCTGGCCACTGCTGTCTACAACAACTCTCTTTCATCCACTCTAGACTCATTTGCTCCCCTAATAACACGAAGCATCAGGCCCCAACCCCTACAACCTTGGCAGACTGACCACACCTGAAATCTCAAACGACAGTCGAGCGCTGGAGCGATTATGGTGTAAAACCAAATCCCACCAAGCGTTCACTCGTTATAAATCTGCCTTCTTAACATACACTTCCTCCCTTCTCGCTGTCAAACAAGCTTACTTTGTCACCCTCATTAATACTTCTCTTCAAGTCCTCATCGGCTCTTCTCTACCGTTAACTCTTTACTTTCTCCGCCCCCACCCAGCGCCTCACTCACTGCCCACGAGATTGCACACCACTTCCAAAACAAGATTGACGCAATTCGTAGGGACACCGCCACTACACAGACACCCACCCCACTTAGCATTCCTCATACCATACCTCCCGCAACACTTTCCTCCTTTGACCTCACTACCACCGAAGAGGTCCTCAAGGTCTTCTCAGAAGCCCGCCTCACCACCTGCCCCCTGTCCCCTCACAACTCCTTCGGTCACCCTCCTCCTCCATCCTATGCTCCCTCACTCACATCTTCAATCTTTCCCTCTCTACAGGTGCCTTCCCCTCCCCTCTAAAGCATGCGCACATCACTCCCATACTAAAAAAACCCTCACTAGACCCCACCAACCTGAACAACCTTAGACACATCTCCCTGCTGCCATTTACCTCTAAACTCCTAGAACGCTTAGTCTACAATCGTCTGAGCTCCCACCTCACTGACAACAACCTTCTCAACCCTTTACAGTCTGGCTTTCGCCCTCTACACTCCAATGAAACTGCCCTACTAAAGCTCTCTAATGATCTACTAACTGCTAAAACCAATGGCCACTATTTAATACTCCTATACTCGACCTCTCCGCGGCTTTTGACATGGTTGACCATCCCCTCCTCCTCAAAAAAACGACACTCTCTTGGCCTCAGCGATTCCACTCTCTCCTGGTTCTCCTCCTATCTATTGCAGCGCTCCTTCAGTGTTACCTATAACGCTGCCTCCTCCTCCTCACTCCCTCTCTCTGCAGGGGTCCCTCAAGGTTCTGTCCTTGGACCCCTTCTCTTCTCCATCTACACCTCCTCCCTTGGTCACTTGATAAACTCCCACGGCTTCAATTACCATCTCTATGCTGATGACATGCAAATCTATCTTTACCCCTACTACCCCTCACCTCACCCCTTCAGTTTCCACCCGCATCACTAGCCTACTAAGCAACATATCGGCCTGGATGTCACTCCACTTCCTCAAACTTAACCTTTCCAAAACTGAGCTCCTAGTATTCCCCCCAGCCCGTGCCCCCTCCCCTGACTTCACCATAAATATCGTGAACACCATCCTCAGTCCCTCCCCTCACGCCAGGGTACTAGGTGTAATCCTAGACTCCCATCTGTCCTTCCAGCCCCAGATCCAATCGCTGACAAAATCATGTAGACTTCACCTCCGCAACATCTCCAAGATACGCCCGTTCCTAACCTCGGAAACTACTAAGCAACTTATTCACTCCCTTGTTATATCTCACCTCGACTACTGTAACTCCCTCCTCATTGGCTGACCTCATCACAGGCTATCCCCCCTCCAGTCTATCATGAATGCTGCTGCCAGACTCATCCACCTTACTAACCGTTCTGTATCCACCACCCCTCTCTGCCAATCCCTCCACTGGCTCCCAGTTGCCCAACGGATAAAATTCAAAGCACTAACAATGATATATAAAGCCATTTATAACTCTGCCCCAAATTTCATCAATGATCTTATCTCTAAATATCAACCAAACTGTACACTACGCTCCTCGCAAGACCTCTTACTCTCTAGCTCCCTTATCTCCTCCTCCCATGCTCGTCTCCAAGACTTCTCCAGGGTGTCACCCATCCTCTGGAACTCCCTACCCCAATCTATCAGACTATCACCTACTCTATTTGCCTTTAGGCGATCGCTGAAAACCCATCTCTTCAGGAAAGCCTATCCCACCCTCTGCTAATACTGGAATCCTCTACTCTTCCAACCACCCCATCCCCACAGTGACTACCTACTGTATAATTCACCCCTCCCTCCTAGATTGTAAGCTCCAAGGAGCAGGGCCCTCAAATCCCTCTTGTATTGAACTGTATCATTACTGTATTGTCTCCCGTTATATTGTAAAGTGCTGAGCAAACCGTTGGCACTATATAAATCCTGTATAATATTAATAATAATGTGCGCAAACAGCGATCATCCCACACATGTGAAGTATTGCCGCAGACGTCAGATCATGGGCAATAATTCTAGCACCAGACCTCCTCTGTACAACTAAAGTGGTAACCTCTAAAGGCTTTTAAATCTTCACCTATGGATAGTAACATTTACATTGTTTCTTTGTCGCTGTTGCAGGGGCGTGCAAAATGTTTTTAAATGTGGCATGTTTGGTATCTATTTACTCGACGTAACATCATCTTTTATATTTTATGAAAATAAATTAGTTATATATTGTGTTTGCGTGCAAAACTTTTTGTTGTATCCCCCTGTGACGGAGGAAAGGCAGGACAGAACACAGAGTGGATGGCAGATGCACAAAGCTTTATTGTAACAAACAGGCGGCAGTCCTTCAATACGGGGGGTGGATTTGCCACTAAAGGGTAATGAGAGGCCCCACCCACTTATAATCCACTAGGAGAGCCAAGGGGGTGTCCCTGTAACAGGGGTAGTCCGACACAGGAGGGGGGTACCTGGGGTCACCACCTCAACAGTTCAGGTAACACAGTGGGGAAGCAGGTACTCACGGATCCAACAGGGTGCCTGGTCTCCCAGGGGTAGAAGCAGGACACAGGTACCTGTGGAGTCCGGATCAGGCGGGTGACCTCTGGCAGACGGGCTGTGGTAGTCTCTCCCCCTTCTGTGGGGTCTCTCGCAATCGCAGGCAAGCTTTCTCTGGCTGCCTCTTCCCTCCTGTGGGGTCTGTGTGAGGCTGGGTTAGGCTTGCAGAGTCTAGTCAGAAAGGTCTCGCCGGAGCTCCCAGCATCAGCCTCTTAAACTGCTGCAGGACGCTCCCTGGTCGCCTTGGCAACCGGGAGGAGGAAATACTAGACCCCAGGGAGAATCAGGCTGGTGACAGGGACATGCTGGGGTGCAGCGATGATGTCTGCATAGATGAAAAGCAAGTTGGAAGATGTGCAGAGAGCTCCCAGTCAGCTGGCCGGGAGGGAGGGGGCCCAGAGTAATTTGATTAGGCCATTGAATTAGGCCATTTGGCCTAGTGACACGGGACAATTGGAACAATGCAAAGCAGGACTCTGAGGGCATGTGATACAAGGCATTAATAAGGGGATTAATACTTGGCACGCTCCCATACCGTGACACACCCCCCAAAACACTGTGCAAATACAGTGTGACATAAAAAATGGCAAAACCCACCATTTTATTCTCCAGGATCTCTGCTTTAAAAGCAAAATATAATGTTTTAGCATTTTAAGTAATTTTCTACCCACAAATCCCTGATATTTACCTTTTCATAAACAAAGTGTCAGAAAAGGCCTGGTGTTGAAGGTTATTACAATTGCTTTTCATATAGTACATTATGACAACTATCACAGGACTATCATATTATTATTTTTTTGTTATTATTCTGTCATTTTATTAGTAGCACTTTTACAGATACTGAGTGCTGACAACGTGCACACTGATATTCTATACAGAGAGCAGGCCACAGCACAGTCGGGTCCTCCAATGAAGGGCCGCTCTAGCCGTCTCTCGCACGTCTCTATGGTCGGTGCACGGCTTGCGATCCCTGTACCATAGAGCGTTAGATAGGGAGGCGGGACCGGGGCGCGGTGCATGCTGGGGAGGGTGTGTGAATCCTCCAGGCCGCGCGCACAGCAGTGTGGAGCCGGTGGGGCCGCTCTGTCAGGAGGAAGGCGGAGGGTGACCCGATATAGGACGACAATGCCGAATTTCTGCGCCGCCCCCAATTGCACCCGCAAGAGCACGCAGTCTGACCTGGCCTTCTTCCGCTTTCCCCGGGACCCCGGCAGGTGAGGGGGAGGGGTCATCACCTCATGGGGGTAGATGAGGATAACCTGCATGGTGTGTGGTGTCTGTCTACTGGACGGAGGCTGGCATGTGACCAGGGTGCTGAACAGCAGATCATGGGTGTCCGGGCTGCTCCATGGAGGCTGGTGGACATCCTGAGTACTGAATAGCAGCCGGGTTGGGGTATCTTGGGTGCTGGATGGAGGCTGGTGGGCGGCCTGGGTGCAGGTTGATGGAGCTGGTGGGTGACCTGGATGTGGGCTGGTGGGCGTCCTGGATGCAGGTTGATGGAGCTGGTGGGCGACCTGGATGCAGGTTGATGGAGCTGGTGGGTCACCTGGATGCAGGTTGATGGAGCTGGTGGGCGACCTGGGTACTGGCAGGTTGATGGAGGCTGGCGGGCGTCCTGGATGCAGGTTGATGGAGGCTGGCGGGCGTCCTGGATGCAGGTTGATGGAGGCTGGCGGGCGACCTGGGTGCAGGTTGATGGAGCTGGTGGGCGACCTGGGTGCTGGATGGAGGCTGGTTGGCGGCCTGGGTGCAGGTTGATGGAGCTGGTGGGCGACCTGGGTACTGGATGGCGGCTGGTGGGTGACCTGGATGCAGGTTGATGGAGCTGGTGGGCGACCTGGGTGCAGGTTGATGGAGCTGGTGGGCGACCTGGGTACTGGATGGCGGCTGGTGGGTGACCTGGATGCAGGTTGATGGAGCTGGTGGGTGACCTGGGTGCAGGTTGATGGAGCTGGTGTGTGACCTGGATGCAGGTTGATGGAGCTGGTGGGTGACCTGGATGCAGGTTGATGGAGCTGGTGGGTGACCTGGATGCAGGTTGATGGAGCTGGTGGGTGACCTGGATGCAGGTTGATGGAGCTGGTGGGTGACCTGGATGCAGGTTGATGGAGCTGGTGGGTGACCTGGATGCAGGTTGATGGAGCTGGTGGGTGACCTGGATGCAGGTTGATGGAGCTGGTGGGTGACCTGGATGCAGGTTGATGGAGCTGGTGTGTGACCTGGATGCAGGTTGATGAAGCTGGTGGGTGACCTGGATGCAGGTTGATGGAGCTGGTGGGTGACCTGGATGCAGGTTGATGGAGCTGGTGGGTGACCTGGATGCAGGTTGATGGAGCTGGTGGGTGACCTGGATGCAGGTTGATGGAGCTGGTGGGTGACCTGGATGCAGGTTGATGGAGCTGGTGGGCGAACTGGGTACTGGATGGCGGCTGGTGGGTGACCTGGATGCAGGTTGATGGAGCTGGTGTGTGACCTGGATGCAGGTTGATGGAGCTGGTGTGTGACCTGGATGCAGGTTGATGAAGCTGGTGGGTGACCTGGATGCAGGTTGATGGAGCTGGTGGGTGACCTGGATGCAGGTTGATGGAGCTGGTGGGTGACCTGGATGCAGGTTGATGGAGCTGGTGGGCGAACTGGGTACTGGATGGCGGCTAGTGGGTGACCTGCATGCAGGTTGATGGAGCTGATGGGTGACCTGGGTGCAGGTTGATGGAGCTGGGGGGTGACCTGGGTGCAGGTTGATGGAGCTGGTGGATGACCTGGGTGCAAGTTGATGGAGCTGGTGGGTGACCTGGATGCAGGTTGATGGAGCTGGTGGGTGACATGGATGCAGGTTGATGGAGCTGGTGGGTGACCTGGATGCAGGTTGATGGAGCTGGTGGGCGAACTGGGTACTGGATGGCGGCTGGTGGGTGACCTGGATGCAGGTTGATGGAGCTGGTGTGTGACCTGGATGCAGGTTGATGGAGCTGGTGTGTGACCTGGATGCAGGTTGATGAAGCTGGTGGGTGACCTGGATGCAGGTTGATGGAGCTGGTGGGTGACCTGGATGCAGGTTGATGGAGCTGGTGGGTGACCTGGATGCAGGTTGATGGAGCTGGTGGGTGACCTGGATGCAGGTTGATGGAGCTGGTGGGCGAACTGGGTACTGGATGGCGGCTAGTGGGTGACCTGCATGCAGGTTGATGGAGCTGATGGGTGACCTGGGTGCAGGTTGATGGAGCTGGGGGGTGACCTGGGTGCAGGTTGATGGAGCTGGTGGATGACCTGGGTGCAAGTTGATGGAGCTGGTGGGTGACCTGGATGCAGGTTGATGGAGCTGGTGGGTGACATGGATGCAGGTTGATGGAGCTGGTGGGTGACCTGGATGCAGGTTGATGGAGCTGGTGGGCGACCTGGGTACTGGTGAGTGTCCTCAGTTTAGGTTGATGGAGGCTGGTGGGCGTCCTGGATGCAGGTTGATGGAGGCTGGCGGGCATCCTGGATGCAGGTTGATGGAGGCTGGCGGGCGTCCTGGATGCAGATTGATGGAGGCTGGTGGGCGTCCCGGATGCAGGCTGATGGAGGCTGGCGGGCGCGTCCCGGATGCAGACTGATGGAGGCTGGCGGGCGCGTCCCGGATGCAGGCTGATGGGAGGCTGGCGGGCGTCCCGGATGCAGGCTGATGGGAGGCTGGCGGGCGTCCCGGATGCAGGCTGATGGGAGGCTGGCGGGCGTCCCGGATGCAGGCTGATGGGAGGCTGGCGGGCGTCCCGGATGCAGGCTGATGGGAGGCTGGCGGGCGTCCCGGATGCAGGCTGATGGGAGGCTGGCGGGCATCCTGATGTCGGGCTGATGGAGGCTGGCGGGCGGGCTGATGGAGGCTGGCGGGAGTCCTGGGTGCTGGCTGATGGAGGCTGACGGGCGTCCTGGGTGCTGGCTGATGGAGGCTGACGGGAGTCCTGGGTGCTGGCTGATGGAGGCTGGCGGTCGTCCTGGGTGCTGGCTGATGGAGGCTGGCGGGCGTCCCGGGTGCTGGCTGATGGAGGCTGGCGGGCGTCCCGGGTGCTGGCTGATGGAGGCTGGCGGGCGTCCCGGGTGCTGGCTGATGGAGGCTGGCGGGCGTCCCGGGTGCGGGCTGATATAGGCTGGCGGGCGTCCCGGGTGCGGGCTGATGGAGGCTGACGGGCGTCCCGGGTGCTGGCTGATGGAGGCTGGCGGGCGTCCCGGGTGCTGGCTGATGGAGGCTGGCGGGCGTCCCGGGTGCTGGCTGATGGAGGCTGGCGGGCGTCCCGGGTGCTGGCTGATGGAGGCTGGCGGGCGTCCCGGGTGCTGGCTGATGGAGGCTGGCGGGCGTCCCGGGTGCTGGCTGATGGAGGCTGGCGGGCGTCCCGGGTGCTGGCTGATGGAGGCTGGCGGGCGTCCCGGGTGCTGGCTGATGGAGGCTGGCGGGCGTCCCGGGTGCTGGCTGATGGAGGCTGAAGGGCGTCCTGGGTGCGGGCTGATATAGGCTGGCGAGCGTCCTGGGTGCGGGCTGATGGAGGCTGACGGGCGTCCTGGGTGCGGGCTGATGTGCTCTGGGCAGGACAGAGGCTGACGGTCAAATTTTAAGCAAATTTTCTTTTGAAAATCGTAATTATGAATTTTCGTTTAAGTTTCTCACCATTGGTGGGCTTCAGCAATGGCAGATTTTCACGCGGCCTTCAATTTTGAGCGATCGGCCGTGTTGAAAATTTTTGTAAAAAACTAACGAACTTCACATCAATGATGGGAGAATCGTGTGAGAAATATAATCGAAAAACAAATGAGCGTGAGCTGTGACCTGACAAGAATAGAAGATTCCCAGCCACAACATTTCTTTTCTGTAGCAACCTGAGGTGAAATTGAAGGCTTGATTGGTCAAATTTCAAAGTCAATGGTAGCACCAGCGGATTATATAACACACTTTTCTGATAAAAAAAAAAAAAACTTTGGAATTTGACCTAGGTACAGTGATGAAAATAATTATTTGATCCCCTGCAGATCTTGTACGTTTGCCCACTTACAAAGAAATGAAGGGTCTATCATTTTTTATCATAGGTGTATTTTAACCTCCCTAGCGATATGATTATTTCTGATTTTTTTGTGCTCAAAGCGGTACATTTTTTTGCATGGAAATATGTAGTTTTTTTATTGTAGGCCTGTAATTTTTAGGAATAACTCACTGAAATCTGTCCAAACAAGAGTCTAGTAAACATTCCGGATATGATAAAATTTTAAACCCGAAATCATAAATTATAATTTAATAAATAATCATAAAAAATAATATACCGTATTTTTCGCTCCATAAGACGCACTTTTTTCCCCCCAAAAAAGGGGGGAAAATGTCAGTGCGTCTTATGGAGCGAATATAAAGCGGCCGGTCCGGTATTTCTGCCACCACCACGTCAGAATACCGGGCCGGCCGCTCAGCTGTTCTCTCCTGCAGGGCCTTACCTGTTACTCGCTCCAGCGCTGCACAGTCTTCCCGCGCTGGCTTCTGTGACAGCCGGGTGCCCACTGCGCATGTGCTGCGCTTTGTGAATGATCCGGTGTCTTCTGGGACACATGACAGGTCCCAGAAGGCTCCGAGCCATTCACAAAGCGCAGCGCTTCTCGCGCATGCGCAGTGGGCACCCGGCTGTCACAGAAGCCGGCCCGGGAAGAAGAGGGAAGGACAACTCCGCAGAAGTGGGAGCGGGTACCTGTCAAATTCAGGTACCCGCTCCCCCTCCATCCCCAAAGGTCAGCAGTCTCTGGTCATTCCCTGCACTGTGTCCGCAGTCTCTGGTCATTCCCTGCACTGTGTCCGCAGTCTCTGGTCATTCCCTGCACTGTGTCCGCAGTCTCTGGTCATTCCCTGCACTGTGTCCGCAGTCTCTGGTCATTCCCTGCACTGTGTCCGCAGTCTCTGGTCATTCCCTGCACTGTGTCCGCAGTCTCTGGTCATTCCCTGCACTGTGTCCGCAGTCTCTGGTCATTCCCTGCACTGTGTCCGCAGTCTCTGGTCATTCCCTGCACTGTGTCCGCAGTCTCTGGTCATTCCCTGCACTGTGTCCGCAGTCTCTGGTCATTCCCTGCACTGTGTCCGCAGTCTCTGGTCATTCCCTGCACTGTGTCTGCAGTCTCTGGTCATTCCCTGCACTGTGTCTGCAGTCTCTGGTCATTCCCTGCACTGTGTCTGCAGTCTCTGGTCATTCCCTGCACTGTGTCC